GATCTGCTCTTTCCTTCTGTGGGCTCTAGGCCCTTCCTATGGCTGAGCAAGTTTCCATGGACAACTCTTAAAGCAGCTTGGGGACTTTCCGTCTGTCCTAGCTGGCCAGCAGGGGGCTGGGGAGGGGTGGGAGGAAGCGGGGACAAGAGGGGGTGGGGGGCGGGAAGAAAGTCAAAACCCAGTCAGGCAATAGAGAGTTAGTATTTCCAGGGCTCTGCTCAGATGGCCCTGAAAGCACGATTGACTACATAGTTTGTGGGCTCAGCGCACGATGGAAATGTGGATCCTCTGATTAAAAACTTATTAAGAGTTTTGAGAGAGCAACAGCGGAACATTAAAGCAAGCTCAGGCCCTGTGAGACTGCACAGAGGCTATGCCCGTGAAGGGCAGGGTTAATTATGGGAGAGAGGGAACAAGGCCCTTTCAAAGACTCTAAAGGTTCCGACTGTAAAGTAGAAGTGGGCTGGAAGAGTATTCATAACAGCCAAAATGTGGAAATAACCCAAATGTTTATCAAGAGGATGAATGGACAAAGTGTGGTGTAGACATACAATAGAATATTATTCAGCCATTAAAAGGAACAAGATGATACGTGCTACAGCATGAACGAATTTTGAAAACATTATGTTAAGTGAATGCTGCGAAACACGAACAGCCACATAGTGTATGATTCCATTTGTATGAAATGTCCAGAACAGGCAAATCTATAGGGGCAGAAAATAGATTAGCGGTTGCCTAGGGCTGGGAAGGTGGGAGAGGGGGTTGGAGTTGATGACTAAAGGCCACAAGTTTCTTTTTGGGGTGACAAAAAATGTTCTAAAATTGTGATGATGGTTTCACAACGCTGTGGACATACTAAAAATCACTGGATTGTATACTTTAAATGGGTGGATTGTATGGTATGCGAATTATATCTCGATAAAGCTATTATCAAAATAAGAGGAGAGGGAGGGGAGAAGGGAAAGGAAAAGCGGGAGAGCGAGGGAAGGGGAAGGCGAAAGTGAACTGAACGCAGGTTAAATTCCTCTCTCCCCCCTCTCTCTCTCTCAAATGAAATTTATGCAGGAAATCTCCCTTGTCTATGAAGGTTTGGGGAGACCTGGCATCTCAAATCCAACGGCCCTGGTCCTCTTCCCTGGCTGCGCGGTTGGGGATGATGGTGGCGGTCTTGCTCTTCCTCCAGTTAGTATGGTCTTGGGCGCAACGACGTGCAATAAAAGAAAACAGTCTCAGCTCTGGAGTCAGCTGTATGTTCGAATCCTAACACCCTGACACTGTCCTTTCCCATCTGTGTGACTCTGAGCAAGTTACTCCACGTCTCTGAGCCTCATTCTCCTCAGGCCTGCAGTCGGAATAAGAGGATCCGCGATGAGAGCGCATGGCACACCCCGTGGGCGCTGAATAAGCGTGGGAATGAGAAGGATTTGGTGCCAGCTGAGCCACCCGAATGAGGCGCGTCCCGAGGCAGGAAAAATCCGGTGCCGCGGAGGCCGCCTGGACTCTTCCGGAGCCAAGGGCGAGGTCGGCGGCCCTCAGAGTCGCCCCCCGCCCCCAATGCCTGGCCAGGAAGGAAGCCCAGGCGGCGGAGGGGCCCAGTGGCCGGGCCCGGCGCGGAGGCGGAGGCCGGGAGCCCGGCGCGCAGCCGGAGCTGCTCATCCATCAGCGGGACGAAGAGCAGAGTCGCGCTCTCGGCCCTCTGTTTGCTTTCTCGCCAATTATTGCAGCGCCGCAGCCCCTTTGTTGATACAGTAGTCCGAAAAAGTGCTAATGTTCATTTATCAGGGGGCCAGCCGGGGACTCCCACGAGTTGCGATTCTTCCCAAAATATAAACATGGGGCGAGCGTCCCAGACAGAAACCCCCATCTGTTTCCCCCGCGCGGGCGGAGAGCTAGGCGTTGTTGAAGATAAAGCCGCGGATAACGCCGCCTGTCTCCAATGGACGTCTCCCCGGCGCATTAATGACATTCCCGGTGATAGTTCCAGCTTATCTTTCAATTAATCATATATACCTTTTTCGGCCAGCCCTGCTGATTGCACGAAAGGGGGGCCGGCTCCGGCTGCGCCGATCGCTTTTCAATTAATAATAATTTATTCACGGAGAATGCGCTCGAGCCACCCTGGAATTTGGATTATCTTAAAGCACCAACTCTTTAAAAAAGTCAAGGAAATACACGGATAGATTTTTTATCTCTCCTCTCTCCTTTTGTCTCTCTCTGCCCTTCTCTAGGCTGAAGGCTGTTTGTCCTGCTAGTTTGGTCAAAGTGCGGCGTGGAGAGGCGGCCAGGTTCGGTCAGCGGCCCTTGGGAAAAAAGATGTGTCCCTGTTGGGGGCCAGAGAATCAAGTTTCCTTCCACCCAACCCCCAACCACTGCAACTTCTATTTAGATCTATTTAGAGGGATTTTTTTTTTTTTTTTTTTCTCGCTCGGAAACAGTGAGGACTGACAAGAAAAGTTGCGAATCGCTCTTGGACTTTTCTCTAAGGGGACCAGCATGGGTCGCCCCAATTTCTATTTTGCACGCATTTGTCCATTTTTGCCCCACCTCCTCTCTCCTGCAACACCAAGACCTTTTTGGAAGCCAAGAGAAATCATTACCCGATTCACACAGGGCATAGAGAGTGTAAAAGTCACTAATTTTGTTCAAATAAGGAGGGTATTTTTCCTTCCCTTTTTGTAACACCTGACCCACAGGAGTGACAGCTCTAGGAAGCCCCCTTACCCGAAAGTAGGAAATAAATCCTTGCCGCCTTGATTTGTAAAGGCAATGCTAGTTTTTTCTTTCTCCAGAACTCTCAAAAAAAAAAAAAAACCTGAAAACAGGGATCCCGGATGTAGCCTCGATGTCCCCCATTAAACGGTAATATTTCAGGCGTCGGCTCACACTAATCTTTCAAACTGTCATCGCAAGTCGCCCGGCCAGCAGATTCACTTAACAGCGCTCCCAGGAACCTCGTTCCGAGCTCTTTTCAGCGAGACATTTAATTGAATCGGATGTGGCTCGTTTGCCAGACGTCACCGCCTCAGCGATAGGCAACCTCTCCAACGCCCCCCCGCCCCGAAAACAATCTTCAAAGGCAAGGCAGGCCCCCAAGCTAGGTTAATTTAGAGCCATAACGGTAACGTGGCCACAAGTTCAGGCGAGGAAGGGCCACAGAGGCTGCTGACATGCAGTTCCGTCCAAGGAGAATTTGGGTTGGGAGGTGAAGAGGTGGGGGGACAGGTTTCCTGGGCCTTGAGAGCCCCACATTTAAGAAAAGGCATCCTCCACAGACTAGGCTAACAATTCCAGACCCCCAGTAGTCCCTGGCTCAGAAACTCGAGGCGTGATTTCAGCGTGGCGACCCAGGCCTGTTACTGACGGCTGGCGCCTAGAAGCCGGGCTCAGGGCTTTGCACACCTCCTCGGCTGCCCTGTGGAGCTCACCTCTCCATTGCTCTAGCATGGAGGCCCCAGGTCCTGGGACTGTGGCTTTGATGAGGGACAGAAAAAGTCCCAACATCAGGCCAGTGCTTGACTTCCCTTGTGTCGGCGTCTCAGACGGCCCACTGTCGGGCTCGAGCACCCAAGATGCACGTTCGGGACAGACACTATTTTGTCTCCACACATTGTGCGTTTCCTCCGCATCTTGGGCGCGTGTGCGGGAGCTGTGTCTTTAGGTAGCTTTTGGCCCTGCGCCGCCTTTATTCTACTCCAAGCGCCTCTTGCCAACCCGCACTCCGCAAAGAGCCAAGCCCTCCAAGTCACCATTCTAAGCAAGTCCACGCGTCCCGCCCAGCTTCCTGCCCGCGGTTCCCTGCACCAGCTAAGGCCGTGCGAAGCCAACGCTTTTCCACTGACAAATCATGTCATTCCCCAGCTCTAGAAGGCGTCCTTAACCTGGGGCCACTCTGCCTACCCGGACTCCTGAATTGTAAGCAAAGTAAAACTCCTCTCTGCAGTGTTCTGGGGAATGGAGAAGACCCCAAGCTTTCATAAGACCTCCCAAGGAGTGCGGGGACCCAGAGAAATGAGGCCCACCCAGGCAGGACCTGGCCATTTAGCCGGCGCTCCTGAAACTGGCAGATTTGTCTGACTTCTGCGCCCTACTCTACTGACCCTGTGGCTAAAAATGATCACGATCACCTCACCTGCCCTGCCCTTCCCCCACGCGCCTGACGGAGCCGCAGGGGTGCCCTCTCCGAGTACCGCCCAGAGGCCTCGGAGAAATCCTGGCCTAGCTGGGCTCAGAGAAGCCCCGCCTCCCTGACAGCTAAACCTGGGCTAAGGCCCTGAAACCTCGAGGTTGGCAGAAGCCTGAGGGCCTTGCTGCTAGGCAGGGAGGGCACGGGAAGGAGGGGGGTGGGATCCGTGGCCTCCAAACAGGGGAAACGAGGTGGCTAGTAGCTGGGGCACACCACAAGACAGGTGTCTCCTGGAAAGCTGAGCTTACCAGCTGGGATTCCTGATTTATTTCATTATTAAGGGGAGAGGCATTTCCCTGGGAGAGTCCTGGCAGTGACTGATGCCCCCTGGAGTTGTGCTGTGCCTAACACTACTGTAGGAGGCAGCCACTCCTACCCCACCTGGCCATCACTCACCTTGCCCTTACTTTCCTTGACTCATCCAGAAGCACCCAGAGCCTGTGGCATGACTGGCCCTGTAGGCCAAGCCAAACTGAACCCCCGAATTGTCCAGAATCTCCCCCTCCTGCTATCCCCAAAGCCAGTCTTGTCCTCCAGACTTCTCTTCCTACCACCTTCAGTAATAAAGCCTTCCTCAAATCACTCCCCACCGCTTCCCACCCCATCCTTCTCTCTCCCATTCTGGTTTGGGTGCTGAGGAATATTTATTCAAACCCACACCCATCCAGCCCTGCCCAGAGGCCTGACTCTGCGTGCCTCTGGTAGGCTTTTCAGGCTCACATTAGGGAGCAAAAGGAGACCCTTCCAAATGTGTCCTGGCCCCTTTAAAAAAGCTGAGCAGGGCTTTTTTTTTTTTTTTTTTTTTTTTTTTTTTTTAGCCCTATGACTATATTAGGTGACACGAAACTGCTCATCGCTGCTGTCATCGAGGCCCCTGGCCCAATGGCAGGCTGAGTCCCCCTCCTCTGGCCTGGTCCCGCCTCTCCTGCCCCTTGTGCTCGGCGCTACCTGCTGCCCAGACACATCCAGAGCTGGCCGGCGGGTGCGCGGGCGGGCGGCGGCACCATGCAGGGAAGCTGCCAGGGGCAGTGGGCAGCGCCGCTCTGTGCCGCCCACCTGGCGCTGTGAGACTGGCGCTGCCACCATGTTCCCCAGCCCTGCGCTCACGCCCACGCCCTTCTCAGTCAAAGACATCCTGAACCTGGAGCAGCAGCAGCGAAGCCTGGCCGCCGCCGGAGAACTCTCTGCGCGCCTGGAGGCCACCCTGGCGCCCTCCTCCTGCATGCTGGCCACCTTCAAGCCAGAGGCCTACGCCGGGCCCGAGGCGGCTGCGCCGGGCCTCCCAGAGCTGCGCGCAGAGTTGGGCCCCGCGCCTTCACCCGCCAAGTGTGCGTCTGCCTTTCCCGCCGCCCCCGCCTTCTATCCGCGTGCCTACAGCGACCCCGACCCAGCCAAGGACCCTCGAGCCGAAAAGAAAGGTGAGGAGGAAACACAGGCCCCCTTCTCCCCTCCTGGGTCGCTTTCGCCCTCAAGAAACTCAGGGCCAGGAGGAGGAGACACGCGCCCCTGGGCCGAGGGCTGGGATCCGGCGGGGGGCTCAGAATGTAAGATGCCTGGTGTTGTCGCCAGGGCTCCCGCGCCCCGCGTCCAATCGGAGATTCAGAGGAAATGCCAGATTGAAAGGATCAGAAGCAAGAGACCAAAAAACATTTACCCCCGGCCTAACAAAGCCCCGGGCGGCTTCGGCTCTGCTCCTGGGTCTGGTAGGAAGTTGAAAAATCGGTTTATGGTAGACAGAACAGACAGACAATTAGATAATCTGTTTTTAAATCTCCTTTGGATTTACGGATCTTTTTAAGAATCTGATGAGAATCGCTAAACAGAAATTGAAATGTTGCTCACAGACACGCTTTTGCGTACAATCGGAGGAGGGTCCTGGACCTTCTTTCTGCAGCCCACCCGCGACCCGGGTTTCTGGGCTCTTTCCTTCTTTGCGCCAGGAAAGTGAAGTTTGGGATCCAGGGCCTTGATTTTAAAATGGGATACTGCGGAGCCTCTGGAATCTGACTTCGCTTTATTTTTTCAGCACAACTTCCTGGCGCGGCCAGGGCGGAGAGGTTCCCTCGTGGAAAAGTTAGGAAAGGTTGCGCTACCGCCGGCGCGGGGTACTGGACGAGATGGGTGCGGGATCATCCTGCAGGCCATCCCAGGATCCGGGAGGGAGGCCGGCCCTGCCGCAGAAAGGGGCCTGCTGGGAGACCCTCGCCCAAGGCAGGAGCCCGGGCGATTCCCGGGAGGCCGCAGGCGCTGGGCGAAGGCAGCTGTGAGCCGGGAGAGAATTCGGAGGTTGAGGAATAGAGGCCTGTGAACAAATTCGGGCGGGCACCGCGGCTAGAACTGATCGCTACCAATTCGAGGAAGCCAGCAAGGCAGGTTCCGAGGCCGCCTGCCCACCCGCGGCTTCTTGTACACTGCGCAAACCCTGCTGCGGCCAGGCTGGAGCCTCCGATCACCAAACCAACACTCTTGGCCTTCTGTTTCTTGATTCCTTAATTTTGAGATAAGACTGTCCCTACGAGTGAGGCCTCGGCCTCTGTTGGTTTAACTTATCAAACCAAACTAGCCCTAATTCAGTTCACCCCAGAGCAACACCTGGTTTTATTTATTTTTTATTTTTTAAATTTATTTATTTATTTATTTATTTATTTATTTATTTTTTGCAGCCTGAAATTTTAAGTCACCGTCTGTCTCCCTCACCAGGGTGTGAACTGCCCCGAGGGCAGAGATCTCTCGTTTTGTTCTCCAGAGCCTTGAGCCGAGCCTGACTTTCGACAAATGCTGAGTGAGACGTGTCGGTGGCTCCCAGTGCACTTGGCAGAGTGAGCCGCAGCCAGCTGGGCTCTCCAGGCAGGACAGAGTGGCATCCACGAGGATCCCTTACCATTATTGTGCGGCCGCGCTCCGTAGGTCGAGCCGCTCTTACCAAGCGTCTCTCTGCCTCTCTGTTCCCCCTCAGAGCTGTGCGCGCTGCAGAAGGTGGTGGAGCTGGAGAAGCCAGAGGCGGACAACGCGGAGCGGCCCCGGGCGAGACGGCGGAGGAAGCCGCGCGTGCTCTTCTCGCAGGCGCAGGTCTACGAGCTGGAGCGGCGCTTCAAGCAGCAGCGGTACCTGTCGGCCCCCGAACGCGACCAGCTGGCCAGCGTGTTGAAACTCACGTCCACGCAGGTCAAGATCTGGTTCCAGAACCGGCGCTACAAGTGCAAGCGGCAGCGGCAGGACCAGACTCTGGAGCTGGTGGGGCTGCCCCCGCCGCCGCCGCCGCCTGCCCGCAGGATCGCCGTGCCAGTGCTGGTGCGCGATGGCAAACCATGCTTAGGGGACTCGGCACCCTACGCGCCTGCCTACGGCGTGGGCCTCAATGCCTACGGCTATAACGCCTACCCCGCCTATCCGGGTTACGGCGGCGCGGCCTGCAGCCCTGGCTACAGCTGCACCGCCGCTTACCCCACCGGGCCTTCTCCAGCGCAGCCGGCCACTGCCGCCGCCAACAACAACTTCGTGAACTTCGGTGTCGGGGACTTGAATGCGGTTCAGAGCCCCGGGATTCCGCAGAGCAACTCGGGAGTGTCCACGCTGCATGGTATCCGAGCCTGGTAGGGAAGGGACCCGCGTGGCGTGCCCCTGACTGATCCCACCTCAAGAGCTCCCTGACTCTCCGGGGGAGAAGGGGCTCCCAACCTGACCCTGAGTCCCTTGGATTTTGCATTCACTCCTGCGGAGAGCTAGGAACTTTTTCTGTCCCACGCGCGTTCGTTCTTGCGCACGGGAGAGTTTGTGGCGGCGATTATGCAGCCTGCAATGAGTGATGCTGCAGCCTGGTGTCTTAGCTGTCCCCCCAGGAGTGCCCTCCGAGAGTCCATGGGCACCCCTGGCAGAACGACCAGTGAATTGGGACTGAGCCCGGGCACACGGGGCCTGAGATCCGACCGCCCATTCCGCGAGCCAGGGCCGGGCGCCCGGGCCTTTGTTATCTCGCCGCCACCCGCCCACGCACCCACCCACCCGTATTTATGTTTTTACCTATTGCTGTAAGAAATGAGGATCCCCTTCCCATTAAAGAGAGTGCGTTGACCCCGCACGTGTGCTTCTTTCAGCTTGCGGCGCTTCAGAAACAGGAGAGAGGTGGCCGCCCAGGATTGGTCTCAGGTCTCAGGCACAGGCATTCGCTGAGCAAATTGATAACATTGATACTAATAAAAACTAACCCTTGCTGGAACCATACTGGTTCCGTGTTGGGCACTTTCTGAGATTGTCTCATATAATTCTCAATAATCAAAAAAAAAAATCCTATTTTAAAGTTTAGAAACTGAGGCCCGGAGGGATTTAATGACTTACCTGCGAGCAAATAGCCAGTACTAGTTGAACTCAGGTTAAACTCTGGTTGTCTCACTTCAGAGACCGCCTTCCCTGTGCTCCCAAGCTCCCCTCCTTGAATCCTAATATGTGCCAGGCACGGTTCCAGGCACTGGGCATTAAATGGAAAGCAAAAGAACCTGGGCCCTCTGTAGCTGGAGGGCACTGTGATCATCCCACTTAAAAGAACTCCTTAGCCTGTTTACAGATGGAAAGGCCAATAACCCAAGCCCTTGTCAAGCGTTCTCAGGCTCCTCAGATGCCGCCTTGGGGCCTCATCAGCTGCCCGCGGGACTGAGTGCAGGGGCTGGGCCCCATAGAGGTGTCTGCAGAGGGTGCTCACCTCTAGCCCTGGTAAGGCCCCATAAATTCACATGGTCCAAGGGAGCCCCTAAGCCCTAACCTTACTGATGTCCTTTCCTTAGGGCATTTAATTTCACCATAGTTCTGACCAACAAGTGTTACTACTGTCCTGATTTTATAGATGAGAAAACTGAGGCTCTGTGAAATCAAGTTTAAATCCTGCTTGTTATGGGACTTGCTCACTGCATGCCTCCGTGGTGGTGGTGGTGATGGTGGTGGTGGTGGTGATGGTGGCGGCGGTGGTGGTGGTGGTGGTGGTGGTGGTTGTTGTTTGTAAAATGAGGGTAACAAACATACCTTGCTCTCATCCTGGATCGCCAGTCAGCAGGTGCTGGGACCTGACCTCCAGCTCCTCTATCACCAGCCCCAGAGCCTGAGGAACTAACCCAGGATCTTTTTAAGATGCTGATTTAAAAGAGACCAAAGCCGGGGGAGTTGAGGATTTGTTTTCTCACTGGATATGGATTTTTCTGATATTTTGCCCAGGAAGCACTGAGTTGGAGGCCTGGGGCATTGGGACATCCGGCTGATAGCCCCCGATACAGCCAAAGCATTGTTTGTGGCAGTCAGGGACCGAGTGCTTCTGAATGTTCCCCTGACTCCCAGTAAGAGTTGCCAGGCTGGCCTGGCACAACCAGGAGCTGTCCTACTGCCTCACCAGGAACCATGCAGCCCTGCCAATGCCTGTGTTATCTCTCTGGGTAAGTGCCACACGCCCATGGAAGAGGGGAGGATGCCAGGAGGTTCTAAGTGCTACCACTGTCTATACCCAGTGTTACCACTGGACACAGTGATACAAGGGCAGTGGAGTGCAAGCAGTCTACCATCGCAGGGTTCTGGGCTGTGCTGTGGGAAGGGAGAGGAAAGGGCTATGCTCAAGGCTGGCTGAGTAGAAGAAGGGACCTGAAGGTCCGAGCCAGCTGGCAGCTGGAGAGGGCCATCAGGAGTGGAAGCAGGATGGTCACCTCAGCCCTGGCATTCCGCCTCCTGGGCCTACGACCCTCCTGTGAGCCATTAACGTGTTCCCATCTCAGTCTTATGGAGGGGCACGCCAAGGCTCCTCCAGGTTGCCAGACCAGCTCCTGAGCAGGATGGTGCTCTCCTGCTAGGCAGTCCCAGCCCACAGCCCCAGCAGGCGGCCTTACTCACACAACTGGGAAATCCTATCCGAAATGACCCATATTTGCTCTTAATCAGATCACTGTGGCCTTGGTCCTGTACTCATGTGGGTCTTTTTCATCTTACAGGTGTCTGCAGTAACATTAGAAATAATATTTATTTCACTTAACCTTATACCACGAGGATTTCTCCATGATACCTCCCTCTTTATGTGTCATACTGTCTCTTCCGGGATCAGCTGAGTGAGCTAGGATCTCCTGCAGCTTTCCCAAGGCACTCACAAAGGCTCACAACGGCTGGCTGGCTGGCATCTGCCAGGGCTTACCAATGCCAGCACCCCCGGCTAAGTGTATACAGGAGTTCTCTCACCTAACCCACCTTCATTTGCAGACCGGAAAACGGAGGAGGTTACATGGATGGTCAAGATCATCCAGTCCCTAAGTGGGAACGGGAGCTGGGAAACACACAGGGTACATACTGGGGAGCTTGCTCCTGAAGCCAGAGCCCACCACACTGCGGATGTCTCTCCAGTAAAGATGCAGCCAGACTGGCTCCTGGCGGCGCTGAGCGGACCCCAGACTCTTGCCAGTGGGGTGAGAGTCTCAGGCCTCATACCCGGGCTCATGACAGGGCCGTAGATGGCAGAACTCAGGGAAGCAGCACGGACTGCCCTCGCCTGACTGGAGCGAGGCTTTACCGCCTGGGCGCTGAGTCAGGGAGCCAGGGCTCAGTACCTTAAACTAACGACGCCCCATGTTTACATAGCGACCCCCACTCCAATTATGTCGGTGGTATTTGTTTTGTTTTCAATTGCTAATTGCATAAACGATGCATTCAGGGTAAGAAAACTCAACCGGCACAGAGAAAAGCAAAACAAAGGAGAAGTGTGAGGCGCCTCCGAGGTGGCAAAGCCAGCGGAGATGAGGGTGGCGCAGGCATGAGCTCTCCATGCCCAGGGCGCCAGGGAGGCACCTAGGGGACTCATTTCATTTCTAGTATTTTTAAAAATCGAACAAGAACACGCCGCAGCTTAAAAAAAAAAAAATTGGAGATAAACAGCGAGGTTAAAAAGAAAAAAATCGGGGAAGGAAGGTAGGTTTATTTTAAAAAGAAAGGAAAAAAAATCAGCTGGGTGGTTCCTGGCAAAGGCGGGCCGGGGCTGGGGGTTCCCAGCACTACAGGCCAGTCCACCGCCTCCCACCCGGCCCCGCCGCACTGACTGGCCCCGCCGTCCCTTCCTTTCCTCGGGTCATTCCCAGCCCGCAGGCACGTGTTCGGCCAAATCAGAATGGCTCCTGTCGTTTTGTTTTGTTTAGATTTCACCTTAAGTGGACGCCACGTTGTGTATCTAAATACCTGTATTTTTAACAGACGCGCAGAAGCCGCAGGGTTCACCGCCGACTCTCTGCACTCTGTCCCGCGCGAGAGTAGCACCGTCTTCCCCGCAGCGCCGGCCCCTCGCATCCTCATGGGAGCATTCCGGGGGCAGGCCCTGCGCTTCTCTGCCGCAGGCAACAACCTTGTGGCCCCTAAGGCTTGCTGACTCCCCTACCAGGCTGAGCTCCTGGAGAAAGGGACCTGTGGCCTGCGTTTAATTTATCACTCTCAGAATTTACCGCGTGCCAGGCACTGTTCTGAGCTCTTTACAAGTGAACCCATTTAATCCCTTTTTATGCCTCTGGGTTCTCGTGAGGAAACAGATGAAGGATTCATTTTAAACCCGGAAAGGAGGAGTATGTTGCCCAGGGTCACACAGCTGGTCAGTGTCAGAGCTTGGTTTCAAGCCCAGGCAGGCTGGTTCCAGAGCCCCAGTACGTGGTGTGATCCCATCCCCAGTTCAGGACTGGCAAAGAGTAGGCGCCAAGAAATGTTTGTCTATTAAAGTGTACACACATGATATTAGCTAACAACTCCTGGATGATTTCTATGTGCCAGGCACAACAAATGACGAGAGAAGCACGCTTCTTAACTCCCTTTGAGCCTGAGAGGAATCTCAGACAGGATGGTGGCAGCTGGGACTCCAGGGATGCAGCCTGGCCCTCTTGCTGCGTCTCAGAGGAGAGCTTACCCCAGTGGTGGGCAGTGAAGACACCCGAGGGCACCCTCAGAGCACCATGGGCTCCCCACCCTGCCGCAGCCCACAGCTGCGTGGAATAACAGTATGGATTATTGCCTAACATCTGTTGGTGCTTACTTTGTGCCAGGCCCAGGGCTAAATGCTTACCCTGCAAATCTCATTCTGTCATTTTCCAAGGAGGAAATTGAAACCCAGAGAAGTTAAAAACATCACCTACCTAAGGCCACTCCAGTAGTGTGGAGTAGGGAAACTGGTGCTGGAATCCAGATGGTTCCAGAGAGCCCTAGCTCTTCAACCCACTCTCAGCAGCTCCCAAACTTGCCCGAAGACACAAACTGCCTGGAGGCCGGGACAAACCCCAACCCCTGCCTGCCCCAGCTCCCTTGAATTGGACTCCCCAGGGACAGGCCCTGCGGGACTGCATTGGTGTCCAGGTGATTCTCATCATTTGGCAGGTTGGAGAACCACAACCGCTACCAGCAGAGGCCCCAGACTGCCCAGGCTCCAGTTCTTGAGGGCCTACGGGAAACTGGAGTCAGATTTCCCCTCTCCAGGCCCTGCTCTTCTATCTCAGGGTCTCTGTGTGTTTGCTGTGATCCAGTGGCTGAGACACAAGCCAGGCAGCCCTGGGGACCCTGGGCAGGAGAGTGGAGTGGTGGAGGCTGGGAGAGAGAGACTCTGGGACATGCCTGTCTCAGTCTGGACCCCAAAGCCATCCCTGTGGCTTGTGAAGCTCAGGTCCTGCCAGTGCTGCTATGGAGAGAAGAGCAATTTGGGAGGACTATTCAGAGACAGTTCATTTGTTCTACCCAGATCCTAAACTCCACATCAGAGTCCTGCAGGAAGTAGACTAGGGGCAAACCAGCCTCCATGGGGGCTTATAGTATGCCAGGCTTTCTGTGTGAGCTCACTGATGCCTTGAAATCTGCTGTTTATTGTGGAGTCCATTTTACAGATAAAGAAAGTGAGCCTTAAAATGGTTTTGTTGGGGCCAGGCGCAATGGCTCATGCCTGTAATCCCAGCACTTTGGGAGGCCCAGGTTGGCGGATCACGAGGTCAGGAGATTGAGACCACCCTGGCTAACACAGTGAAACCCTATCTCTACTAAAAATACAAAAAATTAGCTGGGCGTGGTGGCAGGCGCCTATAGTCCCAGCCACTCGGGAGGCTGAGGCAGGAGAATGGCCTGAACCCAGGAGGCGGAGCTTGCAGTGAGCAGAGATCCTGCCACTGCACTCCAGCCTGGGTAGCAGAGTGAGACTCCATCTCAAAAAAAAAAAAAAAAAAAGATTTTGTCGAGCCAGGCATGGTGGCTCATGCCTGTAATTCCAGCACTTTTGGAGGCCGAGGCAGAAGATTGCTTGAGCCCAGGAGTCTAAGACCAGCCTGGGCAACATAGGGAGACCTTGTCACTACAAAAAAAATAAAAAAAATTAGGTGGGCAAGGTGGTGCGTGCCTGTGGTCCCAGCTACTCAGGAGGCTGAGGCAGGAAGATCGCTTGGGCTGGGGAGGTCACGGCTGCAATGAGCCATGATTGTGCCCCTGCGCTCCAGCTGCACTCCAATCTGGGCAACAGAGTAAGACTTTGTCTAAAAAAAAAAAAAAAAAAAAAAGTTTTGTCACTTTCCCTATTCCTGAAGTTAGAAAGTAGCCAAGCCAAGTTCCATCACTAAATGCCTGTCTTTCCAGTATACCCCAACCTATCCCCAGTATCTTGAACTCCAGCTTAGCAGACATCTTGAAATGGTCTCATATTAGCCTCACAGCACTCTCCTTACCACCTGCCCCTGACTGGGTTTCTCTGCCCTCAGCTTTTTGGGTGAGATCTTTAAAATAAGTGGCTATAGGCTAAAGGTGCCTCCTGCAATTAACCAGTTCACCCAGGCCCTGGACCACCAAACAACTACTCAGTGCTTAAGCTGGCTCACAAGTACAGACCAGAGGCAAAGCAAGAGAAGAAGCAGAGGCTTTTGTCCCAGGCCAAGAAGAAAGCTGCCAGCAAAGGGGACATCCCCACTAAGAGACAGCCTGTCCTTTGAGCAGGATTTAACACCGTCACCACCTTTGTAGAGAATAAGAAAGCTCAGCTGGTGGTGATTGCACACAACGTGGATCCCATTGAACTGGTTGTCTCCCTGCCTGCCCTGTGTCACAAAAGGGGGGTCCCTTACTGCATTATCAAAGGGAAGGTAAGACTGGGAAGTGTAGTCAGTCCACAGAAAGACCTGCACCACTGCCGCCTTCACACAGGTTAACTCAGAAGACAAAGGAGCTTTGGCTAAGCTGGTGGAAGCTATCAAGACCAATTACAACGACAGATATGATGAGATCTGCCATCACTAGGAAGGCAATGTCCTGGGTCCCAAGTCTGTGGCTCACATCGCCAAGCTCGAAAAGGCAAAGGCTAAAGAACTTGCCACCAAACTGGGTTAAATGTACACTGTTGAGTTTCCTGTACATAAAAATAATTAATATAAATTTTCCTTCAAAAAATAAAAAACAAGTGGTTATATGGAAAGGAGTTTGCATTTTCAATTAATGCAACCATTCATTATTCATTATTGTCCTTCTGTGGCCCTTCATAAATTCCCATGCAATTTCAGCAATAGGAAACATGTATTGCTAACAATGTTAGTTTAGCTTTCTCTTTACAAGAAAAATTTTTAGGGATGGGGTCTTGCTCTATTGTCCAGGTTGGGCTTGAACTACTGGGCTCAAGCAATCTTCCCACCTCAGCCTCATAAATAGCTGGGACTACAGGTGCTCCACCATGCGTGGCCTCTTCCTGTAAATTAAAAAGAATAGCTTTCCCTTCCCCCCAACGCCAGGCAAATTTGATGCTTAATTATCACCATATTTGTTCTCTCTGGTGGCTATTTTCACATCTTTCTGTGATCCAGATTTCCTAACCACCTAGTGTAAACTCTTCAAAAGCCTTTCAAAAATATTTGAGGCTTAAACAATGTAAATAAATAAATGATGGTTTGAAATATCCCTAAATGTTTTCCAGATTCAGTGCACTCTTAATCAAAGGGCTAAGAGTACATTTGTGTATTCATTACAGAATGAATAGAATGAATATTCACAGCTGAACAGAAACTTCACATGCAAGTGTAGAGAGCTAAGAATAGCCAAGAAATTCTTTTTTTTTTTTTTTTTTTTTTTTTTTTTTTTTTTTTTGATGACGGGGTATCACTCTGTCACCCAGGCTGGAATGCAAGAGTGCAATCATGGCTTACTGTGTCCTCGACCTCCTGGGCTCAAGCTATCCTCCCACCTAAGCCTCCTGAGTAACTGGCACCACAGATGCACACCATCATGCCCAGCTAATATATATATGTGCGTGTATGTGTGTGTGTGTGTACAGGTGGGGTCTCCCTATGTTGCCAGATTGGTCTTGAACTCCTGGGCTCAAGCAATTCTCCCACCTCAGCCCCCCAAAGCATTGTAAGTTCTGATGTGAGCCACCGTGCCTAGAGTCCAGTCACACAGGCTGGAGTGCAGTGTCATGATCTTGGCTCACTGCAGCCTCAACCTCCTAGGCACAGGTGAGTCTCCCACCTCAGCCTCCCGAGTAGCTGGGACTACAGGTGCATACCACCATGCCTGGCTAATTTTTTGCATTTTTAGTAGAGATGGGGTTTCAACATGTTTCCCAGGCTCGTCTCAAACTATGGGACTCAAGCAATCCATCTGCCTCAGTCTCCCAAAGTGCTGGGATTATAGGCATGTGCCACTGCACCCAGCTCCAAGACATTCTTCAATAAAGAAATAAGGAAAATGAGGTGGGGGTTTCTTTCCTATCAGTTAACAAGGCTTGTAAAGCTATGGTAGTTAACACTGTGATACTGACACAAGGGCAGAAAAATGGACCAATGAGACAGAATAGAGTGCCTAGAATCAGAAGTACACATATACAATCCATGAAAGGGTTAGTTTTGTCTGGGGAGAGGTGAGATTTGGTTTTTTTATTAAAAGAAAAATTTTTTGAGACAGGATCTTGCTCTGTCACCCAGACTGGAGTGCAATGGCACGACCACAGCTCACTACCCTCTTTACCTCCCAGACTCACTCGATCCTCCTGCCTCAGCCTCCCAAGGAGCTGGGACTACAGGCGCCACCACCACACCCAGCTAGTTTTGTTGTTGTTGTTGTTGTTGCTTATTGTTATTGTTGTTGTTTGCAGAGACAGGGTTTTGCCATATTGCCCAGGCTGGTCTTGAACTCCTGGCCTCAAAGGATCCTCTCACCTTAGCTTCCCAAAGTTCCGGGATTACAGGCAAGAACCACCACACCTGGCCCAGAGGTATTTTTGAAGTTCAGTGGGGAAAGGGTGAACTTTTCTGCAAATGGTTCTCCAGAAGATTAAAAAAAAAGAGAGAGAGAGAGAACATCATTCACAAAATCAAATCAAGGTTAATTAAAGACCCACCTGTGAAAAGCAAAACTATGTAACACTTAAAAGACAACATAGACAAATATTTTATGACCTTACGGTAAGAAAAGATTACTGAAACATGACTCCAAAAAGCACAACCCTTAAAGGAACAGCTGGACTACATTAAAATTAAAAATCTACACTGAAGCCCAGGAGTTAAATCCATACTCCCCAAGACACCGCACAAAGAGTGAAAAGACAAGTCAGGCCACAAAGTAGAAGATATTTGCAATACATATAGCCCACAAAGCATTAGCACCAGAATAGATTGTGAAAACCTGACACTCCTCCTGGCCACTGCACTCCAGCCTCTCTGACTTCCTTACTGTTATTCCAACAAGCCTGGCAATTCCTGCCTCAGAGTCTTTGCACTGGCTGTTCCCTTTGCTTGGAATGTCCTTCCCCCAGAATGTCTGCCTGGTGAATTCCTCTTCTGCTTCCAGTGTTTACCTAAATGTCACCTTGTCATGAGGTCTGTTCCTACTACCATATTTTAAATTGCACTCCTATGCACATGCTCCTGGTAGCCCTACATTGCTCTGGTGTGTTTTTTTTTCAATTAGACTTTGTCATATCTAACATACTGTTTTGTTCAATGATGTATCTCCCAAGCACCAGAAAGAGAGCCTGGCACTTGTAGGAGCTTAGAAAAAATTGATGCTGAATAAATGAATGAAGACAAATTACCAAAAGGAGGAAAATGGGTAGGAGAAATGAACAGGGATTTCAAGGAAAAGGAAGTACAAATAGCCCCAAAATATATTTTAAAATATACGTTATTTATTACTCAGAAAAACAAAAAGTCATGATGAGACAATAGACTTCATATACCAGATTGGCAAAAATTAGAATTGGGAGAGAGTAAGCATCGATGGGAACTCTTCTTCTGGTAGGGGTGTAACTGAGGCCAAAGACTTTAGAAGCCAGTTTGGCACAACTTAGTAAAGTTGAATACAAGCCTACCCAAGATCCAGCAATTCCTCTTCTAGGAATATACACCGGGGATAGTCTTGCATATGTGTACCTAAAGACATAAGTAATGAAGTTCAAACAGCCTTGAGTGTAAGAGTATGGCCTTGAAACCACCAAATTGCCTATCAAGAGTTGGACAAAGTTATAATTAAGTTGTAGGAAATTCACAGAGTGGAATATTATACAGCAGTGAAAATGAAAGTGCCACAGCCACACTCAACAGCATGAATCAGTCTCAAAGATGAATCAATGCTCTAAGGTGAGCAAAACAAGCAAGTCACTGAAGAATATAAACGATGTGATTTATTTTACATAATAGTCAAAATAAGCGAAACAAAATGATGTTTTAGTTACGGATGTGCACCTGGATTTCAAAACTATAAAGAAAAACAAGGGAATGTTTAACTCAGAATTCAGATAGTGGTTGCCTCTGGGGGAGAGAAAGAAAATCGCAATGGAACGGAGATTTCAATGGGAGCTGTGGGCCACATTATTGTCTGTGTCTTGGTCGGGTGATGGATACTCATGTTCATTTGATTATTCTTTAAGCTACACATATACATGATCTTTATTTTTATTTTACTATGTAACTTTTAATTGAGGTAAAATTTACAGTAAAGTGCATAAATCTTAAGTGTTCAGCTCCACCTAGTTTTACAAACTATAATACTCTTTTGTGTATGTATGTAGCATACTGTTTTTCACGATTTTTTTTGAGACGGAGTTTCGCTCTTGTTGTCCAGGCTGGAGTGCAATGGTATTATCTCAGCTCACCGCAACCTCCACTTCCTGGGTTCAAACAATTCTCCTGCCTCAGCCTCCCTAGTGGCTGGCATTACAGGTATGCACCACCACGCCTGGCTAATTTTTGTATTTTTAGTAGAGATGGGGTTTCTCCATGTTGGTCAAGCTGGTCTCAAACTCCCGGTCTCAGGTGATTCGCCCACCTCAGCCTCCCAAAGTGTTGGGATTACAGGCATGAGCCACCGCGCCTGGCCATATTTCAC